TACGAGCTAGAGAAATATTCTGAAAGAAAATTAGGAGATTGTTCCTGAAGCTCCGTAACCCTGTAAAAAATGTCCTTTCACTTTCAATAAGGTGAGGGTCATAGATTGGCCGGTTTGACATGAAATTCCTCCCATGCTCTTTGGTATCATTAATTTTTTTTTATCAATTTCTCATTACTATTCTATTCACTCCGTCTTCACCATGACCATCGTTTACATGAGAATTTTCGGAAACATTTTTTACACCGAAAAAAATATTATTTTATGTCTTTAGCCTTCAAATGGATTTTAAACTGCATGCCATAGTCTGTGAAATAAAATACCAGCTTGGCAGTGTTTAATACATCTTCAATGAGATACGAAATCAAGTCAATCTTAAAGGAACATCTCTCCGGTCACTATCGAATGTCTCACAGTGAAATAAAGTAAATGTCTATCAACCATTGAGTCAATCTAAACCTAATTTAGTAGTAAAAGAGATGCCGCGCGTCCATCACATAGGTATCTCAAGAAAAACGCGATGCAATAAATTTTCAGTCTGAGTAAGCCATCAGCGATTCATTTTATAATCATCAAAATTATGGCTCGTTTTAACAATTAGAAACAAATAAGATGAAAATAACACAATCGACGCATTAGTCAAACTTTTCATCAGTTTATGAAACAATGAGAGCTACATTGAACTAAAAATATAATACAAACCACGAAGTCGCAATACCCTAATTAGAGGAATCTCGGAAAGAATAGACCAAGGGAAATTTTTAAGTTGGGTGGGTTTTAGCACATTTTGGGTGTGTGGGCTATTGTTTCCTGGTCTGTTTTTTCCGCCTACCTAATTAGAGAACTCGCATAATTTCTATTTATATTTTTTTTGCCAGCTTCATTAGTAATATATAATAAAACAGTACTCATCCTGAAACACTTGAGACATTGTTCGTTGGTGAATAATCATTTTCCAAAAGTTGCAAATACTTTAAACTCTCCGAAATCACCCCAGATAGCATATCTGGTGTCATTTTCTAGATATCGAGAAATCTGTCTAATGTGAAGGGTTATTCACTGGTGAAATCACTGTGTCACTCTGGGATGAAATCACATGAAATCAGTTCTGGGGAGCGATTTTGCTCGTTTTATGTCGACATAAAATCGTAAATTTCAACCAATGACAGTCCTGGATTTGGAATACTCAACTAGGATTGGTTGAAATTTATGATTTTATGTTGACATAAAACGAGCAAAATCGCTCCCCTGGAATCACATGAAATCAGTTGAAATCGAATGAAATGAGTGAAGTTATGTGATTTCACCGATTGCAAGTGATTTCATATGAAATCACGTACAGTCATTTGAAATCAGTAAAATCACTTGAAATCACTGGCAATCACTAAATCGGTGAGATGAGAATTTATCGGTGAGATGTGAATTTATTTCGAAACGTGTAGAAAAGGAAGAATAATTTATTATCGACTTATTACACCTTTCGACGAATATGGTTTACCGACAGGGGTCCTCTCCGCGACAGTATGGAAAGAAAAACGAAACGCACTGGAATTCTAAAAACAGATCGATATTTCTCAGGAATCTCACACTCGCCGCTAAACATGTTCACTACAGTAGGTTAGAAAAAAAGGTTAGGAAAAAAATCTATATCCTTATGTGATTAAAAAAAAAAAATTTTATCAGAGGAAAAAGTGAGTGTAGAGAGTTTAAACTCTGAAATTATTGTAAAAATTTGCTTTTTACGTATTTGAACTTTTTTTCTTGAAAGAAATTGAGATTATATAATGACTCAAATTCAGAGTTTATCTGTGGCGATGGCCAAGCGATACCCGTAAGCGTCAGAAAAAATCATCACCTGTAGTTTTTCTATTTGAGATCAATACTGATATGTTGGCGCTATTTTTGATGTCACTCAAAGGCATGGAAAAAATTCAAATTTTTTACAAGTTAATTCCTCCACCCATTGTTCCTCTTTACCGGTATGATCTTATGACTCTCAATTTTTCTGTCTATCACTTTCGTTTGATTCCTTTCATTGTCCCTCGTAAAATGAGTTCTCTGTTGCATCTTATTCGCAATTCACAAGGTTTTATGTTATTACCCGGTCCGAGTTTGCTCAGTTGCCCTGAGGTAATTGCGCAGATAGGTGAAATCGAAAATTTAAAATTACTTGAAAGCAGCAATCATTGAGTCATGATATTCAATAGTAAATAGCCCCTCGGTCTAATGTCCGCGCAAAATCTTAACTTTTTAACACAAGTTAACATTTTCTGTGGACATTAGCCAGTTTTTTTAATATCTAAAATTTGACTTACACAACCGGACTGATGACGTCCGGTAGCGATACAAACGCGGACCAAATCGTTAAACATATTAGACAAATATTCGGAGAACTACTGTCGAAATGAAAAATCTAGGCCTCTCTGTTTGAATTGTAAATAATCAAAAATGTACTGTATAAATAGCGTATATCCTAACTATAATCTGAGTATAATTAGTTTTTCTAACGGTTATTTATTCAACCAATAGATAATTGAACTGGAGATAACAACTTTTTGTTATCAATTACAACTACTACAATTTAGTGTATTTTGTAAAAATTCCAACCGCTCATTTTTTCAATCTTCTCGGACATATTTTTAAAAAACCAATGATTAAACAAAACCAATGATTTTCAGTTGAAGGTTTAGAAAAAAATTATTGAAAATCAATTGAAAATTATTTTTAAAGGATAATTCAATGGATTCTCAATTTTTTACCGCAATATGCTACTTTTTTTTCACTCAGCTACTTGAATGAAAAAATTATAATCACGTATTCGCTAGAAAATTCCTATGAATTTCGATTAGTTTTTTTGCCAATCCTATCGAAATTTCTGCCGTTTTTCTGTGAATTTTTTCAATAGAAAATATTGAATAGAAATTATTTTAGAGACAAAATCTATAGAATTTGACCTTTGTATAGAACTTTTTCTATGGAAATTCCTCGACAGGAATTTTTTTTTTTTCAAAAAGACATTTCTATGAAATATCTGAATAAAATAAGTTGTATAGACAAATCGAATTCAGTCCATTTTTTATATTAAATATTATCCATTGAACATTTTTATTGACAGAAACGTGCGAAAGAGTTACGGAATTGTCCAATAGAATTTGCGAAACACTAGCAGAGTTTTCAATAGAATTTCTACAGCAATCGAGTCGAATTTCCTAGTCAATGTTCTTCTTCTTTCTATAAATTTTTTTTTGACGGGTAGAGCCATTCATACAGAGAGACCTTGACTTCTCATTCCAATAGTAACACTCGGAACTCGTGATTTCATGGTCGAAAAATTGGTCTCAAAAAGTAATTTTTAATTCATTACTACAGATCTTACCATATCATTCGCTGATGTTTGGCCATTCATACGCCCTTTCATGATAGTTCCCTATTGAAAAAGCTACACATAGCTCTCTATCTCTTTCTTACAGATACCAACAGTCGTGAGAATCGGCAAAGTGAATTGCTTCATTGAGTCATTAGTAACCTTGGTGCCACAACTTTTATTACTGCTTTGTCTTCTCCAATCTGACGAATTATTGCTGCTTGTAGTTGCAGTCGTTTTAGTTCTTGTCGATGTTATACTCTCCTTGTTCCTATTTCTTCCCAGTCCCCAAAGCCTCAGAAATCCCTCACGAAACTTAGTAGACATGAGATTGTACAAAATTGGGTTGATAGCTGAATTCAAGTACAGCATTACTCGGCAGAAGTATAACAAGCTGTAGAAAGGTTCAATACCGACCGAAACTATTGACGGAGATGGAGCAATCAGAATCCAAAGTGTGAATGCCCGGAAGGGGAGTAGACAGATGAAGAAACATAGTACAACTGTACCAAGCATCACTACCACCTGTTTCCTGTATTTTAGCAAATTATTTGCTGGTCCGCGACTAATTGCTGGATTTGCCATCAAATGTTGGGCTATTATTGTGTACAATATCATTAAAATTAATACTGGAACTACGAAGAATATCACCGTTGTTGTTATGAAGAAACTCTTTGCCCAAGTGGTTGTTGCTGACGTACCGCAACTTGGAAATCGTTCGCCATTCCCATTGTTCTCCTGTACATAACTCGTGATGGGTAGAATTGGGCTGAAAATTGAAATCGAATTCATTAATTCAATTCCTGTGAGGTACATCCTCCATCAGAGGAGAGTGAGATAGAATGGGATGGCGAGACGGGAAGGCCAGGAATGGAAAATTTCGTTATGTAATCGCAAAAGAATGTAATAAAGTTTTTCCATTAAAAATGAAATTTCGAATTTGTTAATCAGCTGAGTGTGAGGTCAACCTAATAATTAAGGAATGAAGAATTTGATTTGTACAGAAATAACTCTATCACGGCTCCTCCGATTTCTCCATTTAATTGATTGTATTTTCTGCCCCCTGTCAGTTTTTCCCACTATCTCCTATAAATACGGAAGAAACTCTCTTTACACATGCGAATTATTGTTATAAAATTATTTATTGCACATAAAATCGAAAATATAGAAAGTCTAGAATAGATACTGCTATATTAGTAAATAAATTATCATTCACAATAAGACAACATTGACGTTCTGCACGGTAATATCTAAGCTCATATTGGCAGTGACATGCAATTTTCATTCTGAAACTCTTTCATGTGAAATCATCGGAGATTCATTTTTTTCCGACTCATCCAAAGAATGTGATTACAATAAATAGAACAAATTAAAAATTAAACTAGATTAAATATCAAAAAAATTATTTCATTGGCATATTACTAGAATCGTGAATATTATCCCCACAGGGCATTGCACGAGGGTAAGAGGTAATGAAAAAAAAGTACTAGTTCAATTTGGAGAATGTTCGTCCATTTCAGTAAAATTGTCTCTTCGTAATAATGTGCAAAGAAATATGGGAAAAACTTTATCAAACAAGCGACTTATAAATTATACCAAAACTATGCACACTTTTCATAAAACGATGGAGCAATTGTCATAAGAAATTCTCCCGCTGATCACTAATAATAATCCTCCGGGATAGTCTCGTAGTTAAAGTGTTCCTCGTCGTACTTCGCTCAGTTCCCCATCTTCTTTTCAATCCGCAGAGTTTTAAGAAACCCAGTCTGAATCTACTACTCATAAGATTATACAATATTGGATTAACGGCGCTATTCAAATAAAACATCACTCGACTGAAGTAAAGAACATTGAAGTATATATCAAGATCAATGGCATCGACCTCCTCAGTCGGTGCTAGGACAATGTAAAAAGTAAAAATTTTGAATGGTGCTAAACAAATAAAGAAACTGAACACCACTGTTAAAAGCATCAACACCACTTGTCTCCTTGCTTTTATGTGATAAGACTCTGCCGTTGATGTTGATGAGTCATTGATCAGGTGCTTCACCACAATAGAGTACAGCATCAGTAGAATTATAAGGGGTACGAAAAAAAAGAAAGTTGTCAGGAGAAGAATAAAAATTGTGATGGACGTAGTTGTCGCCTGCATTAGGCAGACTGGAATGCTTGACACTTCGTTCGCCTCCTCGCGGGTTACTGTTCCATTCGGACCCATTTTTGCATACTTGGGTACCCAGATCATTGGACTGCAATCAACCAGAATTGAGATTGTTTAAATAGAGATTTTATACGTGTTATTCGCTATTATTGAGAATGAAAATTTTCTTTGGCTGCAGTTCAATAATTTGAGTAGGATTATGATTCTTCTTTCAACTTTGTCTCATGTGGGTACAACGAACATTGACATAAACATGCAGGAATATATTCTACAAAATCGAATTATTCACAAGGTGTCACTACTTGGTGGTAATAGGATTCGTATAGCTTTCGTCTTCTGATCATCGACTCGATTATTCCATGCATATAAAAATAACGTGTGATAATAAAAGCGAGAGTTGAATGAGGAAGAACCAAGACTATTAAACTGCAACCAACTAAATATTTTGAAACGAAAAATAATATACACTCAATACTAAAATAACACATCATAAATATGGGTGAAAGGCAGGATATTTTTCTTAAGATTAAAGCAAAGGGCGATGGGTGCTGTAGATGATTGATGAAAGGATGAAAAAATCTGTCAGCATTGCGTGAATAAAAATCGCAAATGTTAACAGAGGGGCCAGTGGTTTATTTTCAATTTATGACGATGTGTCTGGATCGCATATGGAAAAAGTATATGCAAGAGCATTCTCACCAGAAGCTTTCAGCTTATGGATACAGAGTGAGAGTTGATCTATTCTTGAAAGGAAAGAATTGCGGTGTTGTTATCTTTATCCTAATACTGATGCTTCACCAAATCGCTTCGAAATCAGAATTTTTTTTTTTATTGCAGCAACTGAAATTTAATTTTATAAATGTGAACAGCAGGAAGGGTAAATAATGTGTCGATTGGACTCTGTTTACTGACTGTGTTCACCCAACTCAATTTAACAACATGATACAAAGAATACATTTTTTATCCATTAAAAATTCGTGAAAGGTTAATCACTCAATAATCATTGAATATTAATAATTTATTACCATTTCGTGGATTGTGCCCTCCCAAATTATTTAGGGATTGATGTAATATCATTTCGCAAGGATTATGCTCGCTCAAGTTATTTCGACAGTTTATGGAGATGTGTGTGCAAATTTGTAAACACAGAAATATTGTATTTGATGGTTAAAGTGTTAAGTAAAGAAATTTCGGGATAGATTTTTGAAGATATCATTTGCTCATGGCAAGGAGCTATTCACAGATGTTATCGCGGTGTCATTCGCGGATGTATCACTGTAATCACATGACTATCATATGTGTAATTGAATTAAGTTAAGCAGTAATAATTTGTAATCAGTGTAATTTTTCGAAATTTTGGTGGAAACTCTGAAAAACAGGGAATTTTCAGGATCATTTGCATGAATCCGAGGGAATAAGAAAACAGACGTCTTCTGTCAATGCGCTGGTAGAATGATTCATTTAGGTATTCCAAACGAATATGGCTAATAAATATTCGTTAATAGTTAATGAATGGTTCACTTGAAAGGTCAAAGTCGAGTCAAACAAGGCTTCTCAAATATGCATTTGTTAACTACACGGTTCGACAAAATCCGGACGTATTCGACCGCGAAAACGAAACTGACCCCATCTTATAGATATTTTGATGCTGATTTTTAATTTCCTTTGAGAAATCTTTCTAGCACGTCTAGTTTTCGAAAACAAATTGAGTCAAAATGAGTTGAAAAAATCCCGAAAAACTTCAATTTTCATGATTTTTTTGGTAAAATTTAATAGCCGGAAGATGGTTGCGCACACTTTGATGTACGCCAATTTTAAATCTATCTACACACGTGGATTAACCTCGACTTGACCGAACATAAAGTTTGAAAATGCTAATTTTTTAATAAATCATAATAAAATCGAGAAGCAGACTGAAATATTATATATTGTTCTAGTGAAAAAATCAATACCTGACATGGGAGGATTCAATTGAGCCCCAATTCCCTCCCAAATCTCTCTATTGCCAACTTTATTTCAGTAACTCCACTTCTCCACAATTGAAGGTGACATTTTATAGAAGGAATTGACCGTTTACCTTGGCGAAAAGGCATTTTCAAACTTTATGTTCAGTCAAGTCGAGGTTAACCCACGTGTGTAGATAGATTTGCAATTGACGTGCATCAAAGTGTGTGCAGGCAACTTCCGCTTATTAAATTTTACCAAAAAAATCATGAAATTTAGAGTAACGAATGAACATTTGGGGAGATCGAATAGATCCTAGTGTCGAACCAAATCCATTCGTTAACAATAACTAATCCTTCCTATCAGTGTGGTATATCTTGGACAAAGATACCAATCATTTCAAACTGGAGCCAATAAAAAATTATATACATGAAATAATATGTAAATAATATGTATGATGAAGTAAAAAATATGTTTTTAGTCCTGCGTTTCATTATTTTAAGCGTGGCGTGAAGTATTATCAGTCTGATGTATTTTGTAGAATATAATAAATAATGATGATTCCAGAGTCCATTTTGCTTGATTCTCCGTCAATGTTAAATATTCATCAAATTTAATTTGCTAATACTCCTTGACTTGAGCTAATGCTCAAATTTTTACATGAAGTTCTGGAGACTGCATTCCACTGGTCGACCCCCCTCTCCACCGACCGCACGCCGCTTATGATGATTAATTATTTCATTAATTCATATTTAATAAGAGACAATTTTTTTGCAATTTCAAGTCAATGTAAATTATGATGTGTTCTGAACACATAAATCATTATTAAAACAAAATTTCCCAGTGTTTTTTTGGGATGAAGGATCAGACAGAAAGTGAAAAAAATATTTGTACTCTGCGTATCAATGAAATAAATGAATGATACTTTAAAGGTCTTTATTTCATTTCTGTAAAATAAACTATTAAATGAGCCGTTGAATGTTCGTGAATTTCATAACGAGATAAGTCAACCAATGGACAACCCAATTCGGCGATGTGCGTGTTTAAATGGAATGGAACTATCGATGGGAGAATCAGCAATAATAATTAACTTTGGGATTAGTCCCGGTGCGTAATAGCTTTGTGTAAATTTGCAAACAATTCAAATGAAAAATGATTTTGATTGATCAGTCAAATTCCTTTTTTATTCGATTGATTCATTCGATATTTTGTCGGGTAGAAATTTTATCGGGTTCAAGTGAGGTCCCGAAAGGGTACGCCGGACGGGAACGTTGGGTCCTTACGAAGTAAAGTTGATCGGGTCCCGATCAGTTTTCGGTCTGGTAATCTTGATGTGGGGTACCGATGATTGCATGATCGGAGGATTCCGAGTGCAGTCTCATTTGGTATAGTCATCATCAGGTTCACGGTCATTGTCAGGTTCCCCTGAATGAAAATCATTCGAATCAAACAGGGTAAGCCTGCTCAGGAAATTATCAGGCCATCGTTCGATTCTTCTGATAAGTAAAAGCTATAACAAATATTAAGTTTTATTGGTATATTAGATGACTAGCGAACGGGTGCTTGGCGCCCGTCGCTAGATTCTATTATGTTATATTAATTTATTTTATTGTTTTCTTTCCAAATTTTCCTTGCAGTTATTTTTCACTTGCCCTCACTTTTGACAATGCCACGTATAATTGACCATGACTGAATACGTTACTTTTAAGATAAACACCTACTCTTTCTAATGTCTGTCCGTTGACATTTTTCAATGTACCCATAACATTTTGGAATTGATCATATTTTTTTTCCTTAAATCAAGACGTATCAATTTTCTTTTAAATTTCAACGGATATGAAAATTTTTCATCTCTTTAATCTCATTTCAATCGACCGGAATAAGGAAAATGCAAAGTAAGATGATCAGCAAGAAAATAAAAAGATCAATTGTGCAATGTCTCCGAAAAATTTTCTAATTGAGTTTTTTTCCTTCAATAATGTAGGAAGATTAATATTTTTCGTTCTCATAATCTGATTTCGTTGAGAGGAAATAAGGAACATGCAGGGAGAGATGGTCAGCAAGAAAATAAAAAAAGCGATTTTTTAATTTTCTGAAAAATTTCAAAACTGATTTTTTTTTAGATGACGAAAAAATATCAATATGTTCCTTTTCTATGATTTAATTTCAATGGAAGAAAGTGAAAAAAACAGAGATACGTGATCAGCAAGAAAGTGAAAATTTCGATTTTTGAACCTGAATAGAAATTTTAGTACTTGACTGGTCAGGCCCTGATCCGCTGTGCCGTAGAAAAGATTCGGCCCTGTTACGGTTACATCAGGCCCTGATAGGAAATGTAACGTAAAGCATGATTAGGACCTGATTTCTAAACTTGATAAGGGCCGTGGCAGGCGGCCTGGTTTCGCCCTTACCTGGTATAGACTTTGCTACAAATTAATAAATTGCTAACTGAATTATTAAATTGGGCCAAAAATGAATAATAAATAAATAAATAGTGGTCCCAAGAATAGGTGGGTCGAGAAAAAAAAAAATCACCCACAGCGGGACTTGAACTCAGGACCCTCCGTGTATTAGTTCTGCACTCTATCCACTCGACCACCGTATCATTCTCGAAAATGATTGTTTGTTTTGAGTATATCAATAATATTCCCAATAAAATTGTAGTATTGAACTAAATCTAGAATAATATCAAATAGTACAATTTTCCTGATCAGCATCCCCCCTCCCCTCCGACCCACCCCCCTTTACCATTTCCACTCCGACTCTTTGTTTGGTGAAAATTTTTCTAAGTCCCGTACGGCATGCCTTATTCGGACCTGATCATTGCCGGATCAGGTTTGCCGTATTGAACTTATAGAATTTTCGAATTTAACGTTTCCCGGCATACCTTACCTGGTCCTGATCATGGCCGGATCGAGTTGGCGGTATCCGTTATACTCTACCAGCACTCGTGTTCAATCAAAACAGACTGAAAAAAACCCCGGAATTTCCCTTATCAGACATGCCTGCTTAAAGTTTGGAATTTATTGGTAAGGTGAACATGCAATGGTCCCCTTCAGGCTCTGATTTGGCATGCCGTAATCAGGTATACCGTATCGATACCGGAGCAGGGCCTTCTCTGCCAAGAGGTCTGCCTGACGAAAT